AGAAACAAGTAAGCTATAAGTTCTGACAATATGTACCCTTGAACCTATAGTGAAACCACCTCTTTTCACCAATTCCTCTCTCAACTCACTCGACACCTAAGTACGGGCCTAGGCTACTAAGCCTAGGCCCTTCCTTTCAACGTTCCTATTACTCTGATACTGGTCTGATTGTACATAGTGTTATTTGAAAGATATAACGGCCTTTGTAGGCCAGGGTTATCAATATGTGCAGTAAGGTGCTATGAACACACCAACAAGGTTTCAGCAATAAATTTTGAGGATAAAATGTCTCTTGCTAATTTAAATATTGCAGCCTCACACTGAATGACGACCGATCGTGCTGTTTAGTTAATACAATCGATTTTTACGGTTTTATATTTCTTTAAATAGGTGCACTGAGATGCTATAAAAATCCCATCCAGGTTTTGGCAACAATGTCCAACAAGAGTAGGTGCTGTGCTAATTTGCGCACTGCAGCCTCACACAAAAAAACGACTGGCCTGATTATACTGATTAATCACACATAGAGACACAGACAGAGAGACACATATACAATCACACATAAAAACACACACAGGTGCAGACATACACATAGACACACAAACAAACACATATAGGTGCAGACATACACATACAGACAGACACACACCCACACACACACACATACATACACACACACATACACACACAGAGACACATACACATACAGGTGCAGACACACACAGACACAGACTTAGACACATAGAGATACAGATACAAACACAGACGCACACATACACACACCGAGACACATACACATACAGGTGTAGCGACACACACAAGAATACAGACACAGACACAGACACACACTGATACAGATACAGATACAGACACAAATACGGAAAGACAGATAGACAGACAGACAGACAGATAGACAGACAAAGACACAGACACAGGCACACAGACACAGAGACACAGACACACAGACATATAGATACAGACACACAGACACAGACACAAACACAGACACATAGACACACAGACACAGACACACAGACACACAGACATACAGATACAGACACACAGACACATACACACAGACACACACACACACGCGCGCGCGCATATACACACACACACACACACACACACACACACACACACACACACACACACACACACACACACACACACACACACACACACACACACACACACACACACACACACACACACACACACACACAACACACACACACACACACACACACACACACACACACACACACACACACACACACACACACACACACACACACACACACACACACACACACACACACACACACACACACACACACACACACACACACACACACACACACACACACACACACACACACACACACACACACACACACACACACACACACACACACACACACACACACACACACACACACACACACACACACACACACACACACACACACACACACACACACACACACACACACACACACACACACACACACACACACACACACACACACACACACACACACACACACACACACACACACACACACACACACACACACACACACACACACACACACACACACACACACACACACACACACACACACACACACACACACACACACACACACACACACACACACACACACACACACACACACACACACACACACACACACACACACACACACACACACACACACACACACACACACACACACACACACACACACACACACACACACACACACACACACACACACACACACACACACACACACACACACACACACACACACACACACACACACACACACACACACACACACACACACACACACACACACACACACACACACACACACACACACACACACACACACACACACACACACACACACACACACACACACACACACACACACACACACACACACACACACACACACACACACACACACACACACACACACACACACACACACACACACACACACACACACACACACACACACACACACACACACACACACACACATACACACATACAGTAGAAAAAATATAAAGTCTATGCTAAATTTCGATAATAAGCAAATGACATTTAAAAATCATTGTGTGCATACAAGATATACATAGTTCAAAAAATTAAAAGAAGCACAAACATATTTATAAGTACATCGATTATTACCCATCGACACACACATATTGTTCTGTTGACGAATTTACGGATGCAATTATGCTTATTTGATGACTTTGATTATCTCAAAATATGTATTGATTCGTATCATTATAAGATATGAACGATAATGTTTGTATCTACATTCAGATGATTTATTCTGGAAATACTTCTTCTTTTATAACATATTTATTGACAGCCATTAAGGTCACAAGAGTTTTGTGGCTAAAAACGTGATTAGAATGTGCTGCTATTGTAACGAGATAATACTGTAAATTGCAGTTGTTTGGTCTTGTCAGAATACCTGAACCTGCAATGCAACTTGTGTAACAGCAGTGCTTCCCAACTGCCAGAATACGAAATCCCGTGTTTCAGAGCGCGTCAGCGCGAATCTGGAGTTTTCCACCACGCCAGCGCGATCTGACGTCTTGCTTTGCGCCAGCGCGATCTGACGTCTTACATCGCGCCAGCACGATCTGACGTCTGCACAGCACTTCATTTCAGCGAATCATTTTCACCCACGATGTCTTCATACTAGGCAGTTCTTTCCTCTCTGGATTGTTCTAACCAATAGCTATTGCTTTTTTCGCGCAGTCACTCCTCCGAACCGCACACATTCAACACGTTGTGCAGGCTATGCGCTGGCAGATGTGGTTGTGAGCATTTCTGGAAAATTAAATCAGTTCGCTGTTCACATCTGACCGCTCATTCGCATTCACTGATTGTTTGGCCACTTCATGATTTTATTACCTCACTTTAATATGTCTTCGCTAGTCCTGTGATTTTTTGTGTGTCTTTTTGTTTTTTGACATGCCCGTCCTAACTCGTTTCCCCAAGACTCCCTCTCCCACATCGTTCCCCTCTCTCCTTGCTGTACCGTACGCTAGCGTTATGTATCAGCAGCATCACCCATTTCCTCCTCATCAGTTCAGCTGCCTTTTCTTCACTCGCTCCGTTTTCCTTACCGACCAGTTCAGTGGTGCTCTCCTTTGAGTTTCACAGTAGACCTAGCGCTTCCATGGCACTTGTGTATCTTCTTTCTTCCGTCGATCTAAGATGCTTCCGCTTATTTCAGGCTAACTCTTCTGTATATCTTCGTACGCTTACGACTTCGCTGTCCCGTGGTGTCTGTTTGTGTGTCTGTGTGTGTACGTGTCTGTGTGTTTGTTGTGGTTGCAGTATCACCGAACGTGTTTTTTGAAGAATGGATAACAACTGGACGCTTTGCGAGTTTCGTCATATCGTCCGACCGCAGCCTCTTGCTTCTTGCCTCTGGTACGTACCGCGCCGTATGATTAACGTGATATCAGTTAGGTCGTTTATCGTCCTCGATGTTGCAGGAGCTCGGATGTTGCAGGAGCTCAGGAAGTGGATCGAAGAAAGATTGAACAGGCTTACTATTTCTTCTGTCTGTAAGTATCTTAACGCTTCGGGCTTCTTGTTTCTTCTTTGAACGTGTTGTATCGTTCTTGCAGATCTCCAGGTTTCGTCTCAGTTGGCTTCTGTAGGAATGTTGCTTGTTTCGTTAGTGTAGTGTTGATTTAAGATCTTTCTGGTTTTGGTGCTAGTTTTTGCTTGTAATAATGTTAATAAGCAATGAAGCAATATTATATTTTTTTGCAGTGGTTTGTGAGCCGAATGGGCCAAAGAGAATATTTTACGTTTTTTATTATCCAGACGGTAATGGGAAATTTGGAAATTATGTTCACTGCCTAATGTTTTGTAACGGGGTAATTTTTCCTTGTTGCTGTTGATTATAATGTTTTATCCATTTCGTCTACTTTACCTACACATTTCTCGGTTGGTAAAGAGGCAGACTGTAACCTGGCCACCGAATTTAGGTACCAGAGCTATCTGTCAGAATATATTTGCTGTCTAGCCTGCAGTGGGGTACTCTGTAATGAGTACAACCCAATTTAGGGCAATGTACTTGTATCCCAACTCTTGCTAGTCACTTCACTTCCCTTCCAATTTCTCGATACTCTCCCCTAGGAGAAACCCCCACTCGAACTCACCTTGCCTACCTCCTAGTGTGGGCCTAGGCTACTAAGCCTAGGCCCCACCTTCTACTATTTTCACATGTTATCAGAGCCCGTTCTACCTTGGCCTGTGGGCCCCTATACTTCCGCTGCAGTCCTTCTTCCTGCCGCGCGCGGAGCGCGCGGCGAAATTTTTTTAGGGTTTCGGAGTTTTTCATCCCGCCGTGCGCTCGGGGCGCGCGGCGGTTTTCCCGTCTGTCGAAGCGCCCTCGGGGGGCCTGCGCGCTGCCCTCCCCGCTGCTCGTCGCGACGCCCGTGCGGGACCCGCGCGGCGTCGCCCTGCTCGTCGCGACGTCCGTGCGGGACCCGCGGGGCGTCGCCCCTGCTCGTCGCGACGTCCGTGCGGGACCCGCGCGGTGCCGCCCTACTTGTCGCGACATCCGTGCGGGACCCGCGGGGCGTCGCCCCTGCTCGTCGCGGCGTTCGTGCAGGATCCGCGGGGCGCCGTCAGAGCCAGCAGCAACCGCCGCCAGAGCCTACAACAGCGGCCGCCACCACCCAGCAGCAGCAGCCGCCGCCAGGCCTGCAGCAGCTGCTGCCACCGCGCCTGCAGCAGCAGCTGCCGCCGCTCTGCAGCAGCAGCCGCCGCTCTACCAGCAGCAGCAGCCGCCGCCACTCTGCAGCAGCAACCGCCGCCGCCCAGCAGCAGCAGCTACCGCCAGAGCCTGCAGCAGCAGCCCCTGGAGCCGCCACTGCAGCAGCAGCCCCAGGAACGGCCACCCCTGCAGCAGCAGCCCCTGGAGCCGCCACTGCAGCAGCAGCCCATGGAGCAGCCGCCCCAGCAGCAGCCGCCCCTGGAGCCGTCACTGCAGCAGCCGCTCCTGCAGCAGCAGCCCCAGGTGCAGCCGCCCCAGCAGCAGCCGCCCCTGGACCCGGTACGCCCTTTGCTGCCTGTGCCTGTGCTGCCCGTGCCTGCGCTACCCGTGCCTGTGCTGCCCGTGCCTGTGCTGCCCGTGCCTGTTGCTGCCCGTGCCTGTGCTGCCCGTGCCTGTGCTGCCCGTGCCTGTGCTGCCCGTGCCTGTGCTGCCCGTGCCTGTTGCTGCCCGTGCCGGTGCTGCCCGTGCCTGTGCTGCCCGTGCCTGTGCTGCCCGTGCCTGTGCTGCCCGTGCCTGTGCTGCCTGTGCCTGTGCTGCCTGTGCCTGTTGCTGCCCGTGCCTGTGCTGCCCGTGCCTGTTGCTGCCCGTGCCTGTGCTGCCTGTGCCTGTTGCTGCCCGTGCCTGTGCTGCCCGTGCCTGTGCTGCCCGTGCCTGTTGCTGCCCGTGCCTGTGCTGCCTGTGCCTGTTGCTGCCTGTGCCTGTGCTGCCCGTGCCTGTGCTGCCCGTGCCTGTGCTGCCCGTGCCTGTGCTGCCCGTGCCTGTGCTGCCCGTGCCTGTTGCTGCCCGTGCCTGTGCTGCCCGTGCCTGTGCTGCCCGTGCCTGTGCTGCCCGTGCCTGTGCTGCCCGTGCCTGTTGCTGCCCGTGCCTGTGCTGCCCGTGCCTGTGCTGCCCGTGCCTGTGCTGCCCGTGCCTGTGCTGCCCGTGCCTGTGCTGCCCGTGCCTGTTGCTGCTCGTGCCTGTTGCTGCCCGTGCCTGTGCTGCCCGTGCCTGTGCTGCCCGTGCCTGTTGCTGCCTGTGCCTGTTGCTGCCTGTGCCTGTGCTGCCCGTGCCTGTGCTGCCCGTGCCTGTTGCTGCTCGTGCCTGTTGCTGCCCGTGCTTGTGCTGCCCGTGCCTGTGCTGCCCGTGCCTGTTGCTGCCCGTGCCTGTGCTGCCCGTGCCTGTGCTGCCCGTGCCTGTGCTGCCCGTGCCTGTGCTGCCTGTGCCTGTTGCTGCCCGTGCCTGTGCTGCCCGTGCCTGTGCTGCCCGTGCCTGTGCTGCCCGTGCCTGTGCTGCCTGTGCTGCCCGTGCCTGTGCTGCCCGTGCCTGTGCTGCCCGTGCCTGTTGCTGCCCGTGCCTGTGCTGCCCATGCCTGTGCTGCCCGTGCCTGTGCTGCCCGTGCCTGTGCTGCCCGTGCCTGTTGCTGCTCGTGCCTGTTGCTGCCCGTGCCTGTGCTGCCCGTGCCTGTGCTGCCCGTGCCTGTTGCTGCCCGTGCCTGTGCTGCCCGTGCCTGTGCTGCCCGTGCCTGTGCTGCCCGTGCCTGTGCTGCCTGTGCCTGTTGCTGCCCGTGCCTGTGCTGCCCGTGCCTGTGCTGCCCGTGCCTGTGCTGCCCGTGCCTGTGCTGCCTGTGCTGCCCGTGCCTGTGCTGCCCGTGCCTGTGCTGCCCGTGCCTGTTGCTGCCCGTGCCTCGTGCTCGCGCCCTCGTGCGCTCTGCTACTGTCTGCGCCCTCGTGCGCTCTGCTACTGTCTGCGCCCTCGTGCGCACTGTCCCCCCCCCCCCCCCCCCCCCCCCGTTTGCGGGTGTGGGGGTGCTCCGTTTGTGTCGCCCCTTCCTTCTCCTCCTCCGTCGTCTCCCACTGCTGCAGCTGTCGCTGAGGGGGGTGGTTGTGTGGGAGACTGGGGTTTAGGGTTTAAGGGGGGTGCGTGGGAGTGGAGCTAGGGGTGTAGCAGCGGGTGTGTGTCAGGGGGGTGGGACTGTTTGTGGGAGGTTGAGCGGAGACTGCCGTCTTGTAGTCCGCAGCACCTGTAGTCCGGGGCGCTGTCCTGGTAGCCCAGTGAGCCTGCTGCGCCTGTCGCCCGTGGGTCCGTTGCTCCTGCCGCTCTTCGTAGCCGCCGAGCCAGTTACTCCAGTAGTCCGGGGCGCTGTCCCGGTAGCCACTGTGCCAGCCGCTCCTGTTGCCCGTGTGTCTGCAGCTTCAGCAGTCGCCTCCCATCTCCTCTCCTCTCACTCTCCCTCCTCCTCCTCACCTGCCCGTTGTGACCACCACTAGCTTTGCTGATAATTGTGCACTTTAACTATTGCTTCTTGAACTTGTGCTCAGAATGTGTGGTGACATTGTGATCCACCCTGAGCTTGTACTGCTTTGCCTGCTCTGCTGATTTCACCCCACTTTGGCTATGGGGGTGTGTCAGAATATATTTGCTGTCTAGCCTGCAGTGGGGTACTCTGTAATGAGTACAACCCAATTTAGGGCAATGTACTTGTATCCCAACTCTTGCTAGTCACTTCACTTCCCTTCCAATTTCTCGATACTCTCCCCTAGGAGAAACCCCCACTCGAACTCACCTTGCCTACCTCCTAGTGTGGGCCTAGGCTACTAAGCCTAGGCCCCACCTTCTACTATTTTCACACTATCTTCTGATTTTCGCAAGAGCCCACGATGAGCCATCGGCCAACCAGATGTGAGTTCGGACAGACACTCTGTTTTGCGAATTCACATTTTCCACTTTCGATGGCGAATCACAACGTTTGAGAAGGAACAGACGAAGTCATATCACATCGCAAGCACAAGGTAACTGGTAATCGCCCGCAAACACGAAACCACAGATTTCGAATCGCGCTTTCGCATCACACACATTCGTTCCTACCGCTTAGTTACTTTTCTGTAGGTTTACGTTCGGAAGGGCCAAACCTAGCACACCTACTTCAAGTATGTTTGCTAGAAACCGAAACGCAGCTTTCTGATGAGCAGCCGAGCAGTAACTCGTAAGAAGCTTCACAGTAGGTTTATGAACCCCCCATTTTTGAGATGCGGCGAGGCGACGCTGCGACCGGATTTGCGGCGAGGCGACGCCGCGACCGGATTTGCGGTGAGGCGACGCCGCGAGCGGGGATTTGCGGTGCGTCGACGCTGCGAGCGGGGATTTGCGGTGCGTCGACGCCGCGAGCGGGGATTTGCGGCGCGGCGACGCCGCGAGCGTTGAGGCGAGCCTACGAGGCAGCAAGTTGCGGTGGGACGAGGCCGCTACTGTTGGCTTGATGCGGAGGCGATTTGCGGTGAGCGGATTATGCAATAGGGTGGTCGACACTAGGCTGCGTAGGGAGGCAACGAGATATCTACTGAAAGTGCGGCGAAGCCGCGTGGCAACATCGCGGCTTCCCAAACGAATGAATGCGTATTTGGCGACGCTGGCTCCGGTGCTATCGTCGGCGTATGACCTAAGCCTAAGAGATGCACTTCAATTGTGTAGGTAAGATTCTTCTAGTAGTGAACGCCAAGAAAGCTACGGGCAGGCCCCTAGATTCGTTTTGAGGTAGTCTGACGCCTCAGAGTACACCCCTCCTGGAACTCTGTCTATCAGAGGTGCCTCCAAATTTTAGTCTGAAAATTCCGACAAGCACAACTTTTTTTGTCTGAACTGTCAGAGTTACCCTCAAATTTTAAGATGATGATGCAGTATCGTAAAAGCATATTTATAATAGCATTGAAGCTGATTACAGCATACACCCTCTTTCTCGCCATTGTGAATTCGGTTATAGTGAAGTCAAGATGGGAAAAGCACGGTTAACGGTGGTTAGATTAAGTCTAGATATGGTTCAATCAGACAAATCGAAGGTAACTAGGTTTTCCATCAGTTCAGCACAGTTCAGTGTAATGAGAAAGAGGGTGTACCAACTCAACTGTGCGGTACGAACCAGTCAGGGTCGGCGGGTTTGCATCAGGCAACGTGCTCGTGCATCGCCTTGGTTGTTTTGTCACGTGCAGCGCATGGGTTGTTTCTGCTGATTAGATTTCGTTTCGTCGTGTGTCTGACTACCATACCGTTCTGTACCCATTTTCTCGCCTGTGTGCCGATTTTGTCAATTTTGGATTTGCGTTTCAAGCGATGTGATCAGGGCCTCAGATGTCAGGAATTTTACCCTGAATTCCTGAAGTTTGACCCCCGTTTTTTATCATGACCCTGATGCATCAGCTGTTTTTTTCAACGACCCTGATGTTTCAGTGTTTTTAAATTTCGAACTCTGATTTTCCAGTGTTTTGTGTTTGAGGACACTGACGAGTCGGTGCTGTATCGGGGTCTACCCTGAAACCGAAAACTCCTTGTTTTGGCGCGCCGTCACAGTGCACCGTGCACCAAGGGGATTTCTGGCAAAACATGCTCTGATAGGGCGAATCTCTTGTGTGAGGGGCGAATCTGCTACTGTGTCAGGGCAAATATGCTGTGATTGGGCGAATTTGTTGTGCTGCGACAGCGCGTGACTGTGCGAGGTCGAATTTGCCGTCAGGGCGAATCTGCTGTGACGAACCAAGTCCGAATCATCAGTCAAGTACACAACCAGAGATCAGAAACAATTCTTAACAATTGTCCAATTTGATTGGTCAGACAAGATTTCTGACCAATCAGACGCGGAAATAGCAGAATCCTGGCCGAATTTGGGAATTGAAAAGTGAGGGCAGTCTGATTCGCTGTGTTATGACAGCATACCAGTATAAGCAACTATTCTGATCAGAGTTGAAGTTGTAGAAACCCTGATTGATCAGCGTTTTATTTCTAACAACCCTGTAAATTCAGTGTTTCACACTAGACGACACTGAAAATCAATGTTACCCGCCTAGGGACACTGAGTGCTCAGGGTACACAAAAACCAATCTGAGGCCCTGGATGTGATCATTCACCCGATCTGGTTGTTGTCACGTACAGTGCCAGGTGGGCCAAGAGCCACGCAGCTAAGCTGGCAGCACGCAGAAACTGTTGGTTGGCGTGGCGTGTGTGATCATCTGGCAGTGCCGCACAAAACTTTCATTACGAATCAGGAGCTTCGTGATTTCACAGCAGTGCATGCTGCAGTTTTTTTTACAAAGAATCAGCATCAAAATCACCAATTCTTTAAAATACATTAGCGATAACTTACATGTGACGAGATTATGTCTACGAAATCTCGTAATCACGCAACAATTTTCTTAGTGTAACTGGGAGATATTCTCGACGAACGAGTGCATTCAGATGTCCCACCTGTTGAAGCGTGCGTTGCTCACGTCCTGGCACTCCACTGCCATCTCGGAAGTGGGCATATCGAAACAAAACTTCTAGGAAACTTTGAGAAAATTAGAAGAAAGAAAGAGGAATGAACTAGCAGAAATGGGGATACAAATAACAAACCCTAGAAGGGTTGTACTCGCTATAGAGCACCCCACTACAGGCTAGAACATAAGAATAATATTCTGACACACCCCCATAGCCAAAGTGGGGTGTAATCAGCAGAGCAAGCAAAGCAGTACAAGCTCAGGGTGGATCACAATGTCACCACACATTCTGAGCACAAGTTCAAGAAGAGATAATTTAGAGTTCACAATTATGAGCAGAGCTAGTGGTAGTCACAACGGGCAAGTGAGGAGGAGGAGAGAGAGTGAGGGGAGAGGAGATAGGAGGCGACGGCTGAAGCTGCAGGCACACGGGCAACAGGAGGCACACTGGCACAGCGGCTACCGGACAGCGCCCGGACTACAGGAGTAACAGGCCCCGCGGCTCAAATAGCGGCGGACGGGCAACGGACCCACGGGCGGCTGGCACAGCTGGCTACGACTGGGCTACCGGGACAGCGCCCCGGACTACAGGTGCTGCGAACGACAAACTGACAACCTCCACTCAACCTCCCGCACACAGTCCCACCCCCCTGATGCACACCCACTGCTACACCGCTAGCTGCACTCCCACGCACCCCCCCTTAAACCCTAAACCCCAGTCTCCCACACAACCACCCCCCTCAGCGACAGCTGCAGCAGTGGGAGACGAAGGAGGAGGAGGAGCAAGGGAGGAAGGCACACCGGCCACCCCCATACCCGCCACCCCACAGCAAGCGGCCCCCTCAGGTCGCCTCGACGGACGACGGGAAATGGCAGGGGGAAGGGGGGGGGGGGGGGGGGGGGGGGGGGGGGGCGGTGTGGTGAAAGGGGCCCACCACGGGCCTGGTCGGAGGGCGGGGCCGCGACAAGGGGCGGGGCCGCGACGAGGGGCGGGGCCGCGACGAGGGGCGGGGCCGCGACGGTCGGGCAGGGCCGCTTCGAGGGGCGGGGCCGCGACACAGGGCGGGGCCGCGACGTAGGGCGGGGCCGCGACGGTCGGGGCGGGGTCGCGACGTAGGGCAGGGCCGCTTCGAGGGGCGGGGCCGCGACGCAGGGCGGGGCCGCGACGTAGGGCGGGGCCGCGACGTAGGGCGGACGCCCGCGAAGGTAGAGCAGACGCCCGCCGCGCGCCTCGGGGCGCACAGCGGGCAAAGAACCGCCGCGCGCCCCGGGGCGCACGGCGGGCAGAAAACCGCCGCGCGCCTCGGGGCGCACGGCGGGAAGGAAAACCGCTGCGCGCCTCGGGGCGCACGGCGGGAAGGAAAGGTAGCAGCGGAAGCGAGGTGGAAACCCACCCACAGGATCGATCCAAGGGGATCGACCTGCTCTGATAGCATGACAAAATTAGAAGAAAGAAAGAGGAATGAACTAGCAGAAATGGGGATACAAATAGCAAACCCTAGAAGGGTTGTACTCGCTATAGAGCACCCCACTACAGGCTAGAACATAAGAATAATATTCTGACAAACTTCGTTTCGATAAGCTCGCAGAGTGCACCCTCGACATAAGTATGAGGCTCAGCCTACACCC